CAGCGGATCGGATGGTGATGCTGCTATTAAGGGTACAATTCTAGCCGGCGTTTTGTTGATTGGTACTGTTGGTGGATTCGCCGGTGTTGGATACGTTTACAGGGATCAGATCAATACGTTCCTTACTCAGTTCTCAACTCTAATCGAAGGTTCTATTACTCTGTTGATTCTATTACTCATTGTTTTATGGTTTAGGGTTCTAGTTGTATGACATTTAGGATAGTTTTGAAAAATGATTTTTCACAATTTAGTTTTGTCTTCTCTGATTAACCACAGGTTATGGTCCAGCTGGGTATGCGTTGTTCATTGCCGTGTATGCTGGACTTGAGGCAAGCTTCTTTTTTCAGTTTTTGTTACATGATCTTTATTTTTCATTGAGATCTTGTATTCTTGCCTTTCTGTTAGATACTAGCTATTCCAGCTCTTCCATTGACGATGTCGGCTGGTCTTCTCTTCGGTTCTCTCGTTGGCACAATCATAGTTTCTATCAGTGGAACAGTGAGTTATTTGCGTAAAAAACTCTCGGCATCAAGTAACCTTCTCCTGTTCTTATATGTTTGGTTGTCTGATTTTTGTTTTTTACTCGTGTTAGATGGCTGCTAGTGTTGCTTTTCTAATTGCCAGATACTTTGCTCGAGAGCGCATCCTTAAGTTAGTTGAAGGCAATAAAAAGTTCCTCGCCATTGATAAAGCGATTGGTGAAAATGGGTTTAGGGTTGTTACTCTCCTTCGGCTAAGCCCTCTGCTTCCTTTCTCTCTTGGCAATTACCTGTATGGGTTGACATCTGTGAAGTTTGTGCCTTATGTATTTGCAAGGTCTGTGTCAGTGTTACTTAAGAATCCAATATGTTCTCTTAATGTTGTTCACTTGTTGTTTAAGCAATTTCGACCTGGAGTTAATTCAATTTGTTTACATACTCACTCTTGGATCATACTGTTTTTGCAGCTGGTTGGGTATGCTTCCAGGGTCTTGGGCTTATGTCAGCGCTGGGGCTTTTGGACGAGCAATCATTGTGAGTTCTGTTGTCTTTTATTCTAATCTGTGTATCCCTCCTGGCAAAAAAAATGAATTGTCCAAAAACACTTTCTTCTCATGTCAAGTGTAAGGGTACATTAGAATCCACCGAGCTTTTTCCTTTGCTGGGTTTACAATAGGTCCATGTGGAGCAGCACTAGTCTATGGTAGAACTACCATTAAAAGCTAGCTTAGAAACACGTGGAGTAAAGAGGCTTGTAGATCGTCAAGCTATGGGATCACAGCAAAAAGTTTTGTTTTTGACGTAATGAATGGAAAAGGGAGACTGATATCGAATGAAAGACAAATACTCTACATGCAGAATAGTGAAGACTAGTCATTACTTATGCAAGTTAACATGAATTAAATAAATTGCGTGTCTGATCGATCAGTTGAGACCTGTGTTGTGTGACATTCATGTTGTGATTGTTGCAAGCATCATAACCATCAAATGGCAATCTTCTTTCTATGTTGTTTCAGCAAGAAGAATCTAATGTTGGCTTACCTGGGGGAAACGGCCAGCTTTTAACGCTCGGGTTGGGTCTTTTGGTTACTGCATTGGCTGCAACATATGTGACACGCCTTGCAAAGGTAACTCATACTTTGGTTAATAGTAATTGTCTTGCTTCTTCTTTGGTCTGCCTTATTGTTGCCTCCCACTTTATCTGATCCCATTTTTTCATTGCAGGATGCTATAAAGGATATTGATGATGAGTAGAGAGAGATGCAAACTACGAGGAAATGGGCCAGTAGTCGGATTTGGGATCCATTGGATAAAGGTTTAGCACTCTAGGATTTGTATAAACCTGTGTGTCAAACTTCTCAATTATTGTTCATAGTTGATATATAAATTTGATTTTTTTTTTTTGTCCTCAAAAACATTTAAACTGCAATATTTGATCAAAATGCTTCTAAGACAATTAGATGCATTTATAAAATATAACTGAGCCTCAGAAAATGAAAGTACTCAGAATGCGTTTTGGAACTCAAGACCAAAAACGTATTTGAAGATGGGAGCATTCCCCAAACCAAAACAAAACAAAAAACAAAAGTTTCTTGCGATTTTATTTGTCAAAAGAATATCCGAACTGAAACTCGCCATGTCCCAACCATTGACTCAGACTACTAAGCAGTAGCTTCCTTCAAGTAGGCAATGAGATCAGCGCGCTCTTGTGGCTTCTTAAGTCCAGGGAAGACCATCTTTGTTCCCGGTATGTACTGCATCATCACAACACCAAATCAGAATAC